TGATGGTAGGCGCCATCGCTAAGGGTACACATACTCAAATCACAAAACATGGAGAAACTATGTACTAACCACACAGCTTCCTCCCTGCTGCTAGGTTTTATAAGGCTGGAAAGTGCCGTGTAGACTGCTGGGAAAGAAAACTCGCTTTATCCGGCTGTGAACCTCACGATACAGTAACGATTGGCCTGGCAAGGTATATATATGGTGCAATCATGGCATGAATGTTATGAGCGTAACTAACCAATTTCTGATGGAAATTAAGGTCCACCCCACCACAGGAAATGCAAACCTGATACTGTAACTCTAACCCTAACTTAATGTCTGGGGAACTCATGAGCCCCAGGATGAACCAAGGGGACACAGTATCCAAATGCCCTCTAAGGTTAGTTCTGCACTTACAGATTAATGTAGCTCTCACTATTCATTAGAGAGGTTCCTTTATGAAGTGGATAGTGGTTAATACAGACTCAACTGTGGGATACTCAGCATAAATGGACATGTATATTACACCCTGCCCCCAAGGAATAGAGTAGAAAAAGGGAAAAGGAATAGAAAGATTTTAAGAGCCAGAGGCTGTGGAGGACCTAGATGAATCAGTGTCTGCTGTACTTATGACCACCTTGCAGCAGCTCGGACTCTTACAAAAGATCAAGTTAGTCAACATTCCATCTCAGAAGGGGCTCACGAGTCCCCATTCCTAGCTAAGGAGCTATTAAGAGTTGAGTGCTGCTTGGGGGGAAGGCTCCTTTCTTTAGGGGTGTGGTTCCTGGTAGGTTAACCATGATCCAGTGAATAGCTTCACACCCATCTGTCTATGGGCAGCACAAACTAGACTCTGGGTTTTAAATGTGGCTATATAGTTGAAAGGGGGGGGGGGGGATGGAGGAGTGGGAGGTACAATGGATGCAGAATAATTAAAGGTTAATGTGATCAAAATACACTGCATACCTTCATGAAATTCTCAAAAATTAATAAAGGATTATATTAAATCAAAAGAAGTGAGGTTTAGGGTTCTTTTGGAAATGGTCATAAAGCTGCTTTGAAGCCCATGAATTGTGGAAATACTTTAATTATACTATCTTGTGCTGTTAATATGGAATAATGTCACTCAAAAGTGACTGCTGCAGCCCCTCAAAATCTGCTGTATTTCTGTCATCTAAAGTTTATGATAGATTTATCTTTTTGCTGTTCTGAAAGAGTATTATAGCCAGTACTTACCAATAACTATATATTGTGTTTTATATAATCATATGTAAGTCACAAACTTTTACATAAAATGAGCAAACTGATACAAGTCTTCAACTAAAAATATAAATGTTACTCATAAGGATTTTAGCACATCTTAAAATTAAGCTTTCCAAATGAGATGAATCTATTAGAAGGGTTTCTTTCTCAACTATGCATAGAACCACCTTATTTCCCACTTGCCTTATACTCTTCTACTTTGTCTTCATCTGTGTCTCCTTCATCCAGACACTTCCGTTTTGAATTTGGAGCAGCTGTATCATAGGAAGCCCTGAAAAGTAAACTGCAACTTTCACACAAGAAACTACAAAAGATGCATATGGATCTGCTTATAGTAGTAACAAGTTAGAGGAACAAAGCCAAATGTTTCCTGGTTAAATATACATTTATTCAGCTTATAAACTATTGCCGAAAAGTCAGGGGCAATAATTTGTAGTTGATTTTTATAAGAAAACAACCAAATGAAAAAATAAGCTACTATAAAAACTGTATTCTGAAAAAAATCTTTTAAATTATGTATCCTTCATACTAGCTTATGTATATTTTATACTATCTTCTGTAAGCAAAAATGATACAATTGATAAACTAAAATTTTAAAAATTATAAAATATTTTCTGAATTACCAAATATCACTTTTAAATCCTATTTTCTTTTATAATTTCATAAAAATTATGATTTATAATTTAACATTACTTATGGTATATAAGCTAATTATTAGTGTAACTTTCACTTAAACCTACTTTATAAATGGGAACTTAATGTTTTTGGAAAGTAAGTATTTCATAATTTCAAACTGACATTAAAACCTGTTTCCACTGGGTGGTGTCAGTGCATGCCTTTAATCCCAGCACTTGAGAGGTAGAGACAGGTGGAGCTCTGTGAGTTTGAGGCCTACCTGGTCTACAGAGCTAATGCCAAGACAGGCTCCAAAGCTACACAGAGGAACCCTGTCTCAAAAAACAAACAAAAACCTGTTTCCAAATCTCCATTTTCACAATTTTCCTAACAACACATTCATATCTACAATTAATTGTTCATTTAAAAAAAAAAACCCTCAAGAGGTGATTTCAGTTCTTATGTGGTTCAAGCAAACGTGCTGCAAGGCCAGGATCGGGTACACAGCATGACTGTGTCTCACTCTCCCCGCCCCAAATAACTCCCATGAATAAGTCAAATTTAAAAAAAAAATGATCCTTTTACACCATAAACATGTCACTAAAAAAGCAGTTGCTCCACATACCTGCAAGTTTCTCTTGTTTCAGCAATTTCCCTCTGCTCATCTTTGCTATTTAACACAGCACCAATGCTATCTGCACTTTCAGCTCCCAACTAGGAAGCAAAAACCCAACATTAGATCACAACGCACTATTCATATACTGCAAAATGTGTTGCTAACTTTAATATATCAAATATTTTATAAAAGCAGCACCTCTCATAACACTATCAGTAGGGTTGCGAAATAGACTGTAAGTGAACTAGATCATTTTAACTAAGAAAGACTTTGCTGGAAAACATTTTATGTATTTGGTTATATTTGAAATTAAGATGATTAGTCAATTTTGAATAAAACACAATTTAGCAGTAGTAGCAATAACCAAAAAAAGGACTGATTCATAAACTATCCCATGCTTTCACAAAAATTTATTCAATTTTATTAAGGCAAACTTTTAAATAAAATTAACTAATAGCTTAATAATGGTAATGTCAACTTGGGTGGTCACGGGGGAAATTCTGTAAACAAAGGCTAAGCTGAACAGAACCAATTCACGGAAAACTTTCCAAGTCAGACCAAGGACATAGAATAGCATGAGGAACTCTTTGGTATTAAGGATAAGAACATATGAGAAAATCTGCATTTAGTGGTCCCTTTAGCTCCAGAGAGAAAAGGCATACAAAAACATCAATGCTGCAAATTAGCATCTTTGACTTTAAACAACAAAATATTCTCTTAATCTACCACTTCATACGCCTGCCCTCATTTCTCCAATGTCTTCCACTGTATGAAATGCTCATCAATTTCAAATCCTTCATAAAATCTCTAATTCGTTTTGGTCCGAGGATAGTTGGAATGTTTCTCACAAGACAAGCCTTTTCTTCTGCGAGTTCTCTGAGGAACCAATACAGCGACGGATTTAGCAAGCTGCCTCATTAAAGCCTGGCAAATTTCCCTCCACTTATATTGGTCTGTGTAGTGCAATGAAAAAGGCCTCAGACTGCAGGAAAAACAACGTGTAACGTGTACCCTCTGGACGTGTAGTCTGCTACTAATCGGCAAGCACTTACACACTCATCCACAAGCTTCAATGAAAGTGAAACATTTGGAAGTTAATATTTGGAGAGACAAATCTCAGCTAATTCTCTAGTGAGGAGTGGTCGGGGGATTTGCAAGAATCTTGGAAACCCATTCCTTGTTTGGCTAAGTAACTATAACACTTCCCTCCTATTTCTAATACCTACAAAGTAAGGATTCAAACACTGGTCTCCGAGAGATTGTGTTTTAGGGTGGAATCTAAATTTTACTCTCTGTTTGCTTCCAATGAGTCTCTGGACATGAGCTCATGAAAATACAAAACTTCCTTCAAAATCAATCTCAGCGGGGCGGTGGTGGTGCACGTGTTTAATCCCAGCACTCGGGAGGCAGAGGCAGGCAGGTCTCTGTGAGTTCGACGCCAGCCTGATCTACAAGAGCTAGTTCTAGGACAGGTTCCAAAGCTACAGAGAAACGCCGTCTCGAAAAATAAACAAAAAAAAACAATCTCAAGAATGTGAAGTTGGGCTGGAGATAGCTCAGCGACCAAGAGCGTGCACTGCTCTTCCAAAGGACCTGAGTTCAAGTCCCAGCACCTACACCAGGAGGCCACAGTCACCCATAACTCCAGGTCCAGGCAGATCCGACCCTCTGTCACCTCGGTGGGCACTTGTACCCACGTGCACACACCCACACAGACAAAGCCCCGTACTTTGAGATAAAAATAACTCTTTAGAAAAAAAAAAGTGAGGCTGAAGTGGAAGAAAGGCAAGACACGAAACACCGCGGAAGTGGTGGAGAGAAACGCAGAGGCTAACGAGCCACCGGCCCTTGTCAACAATCACCGCGTCCATCCCCGCCACCGAAGAGGCTGCCCACAAACACGGGGCCGCGAAGCCCACGAAGGGCACTGGCTGGTCTTCTCCATGATGACTCCGACGGGCACTGCGCCTGCCGGAGCTAAGAACGTGGGGAGACCAGGGAATCAAAGTCTCGGGACAAAGGACCTTGACCCTGGCAGAAGTCGGTGCACAGACCAAGGCGGGCGGGAAACACAGGCGGCCGCGCACGCGCACTGAGCCGCCCTCCCACCCGGCCGCACACCTGCTGAGCGAGGAGCTGCCTCCGTAACTTCTGCCGCTCCCGGATCTCCTGCAGGCGGCTGTCCATGCCCCAGCTCCAGCTCCTCACCGCCCCGACCGACCCGGCGCTCGCGGAAACACAAGCCCTTCTCCCGAACCAGGAAACACGGGGTCTCTCACAGCTTCTGACGGGAAGACTCGTAAGTCCCTCAGCAGGGACTTCCGGCGCGTCCGAAACTGGCTGGGCCCAGCCAGGAAGTCCCGCCTCCAGGACGCCGGTGGTATGACGTCACAGGACGAGGCCCAATGAGGATGCTGAGGTGGTCGGGGGCCGTTCGCTGTTTTCTGCCTGGCTTCTCAAGTCTTAACTCTTGCCTAGGAGATCACGTTTTTACAGATCGTAAGGAAAGTTTTTGTCCCTGTTCCCGTTAACCAACTATCTACCTGTCAGCCCTGGGTTTTTAAAACTTGAGGTATGCGTGTGGGCTTTTTTTTTTTTTTTTACTGCAACACTAACCGGCTTGTGAAGGATTGACTCTCTGACCGCCAGATAGCTTGGCGCGTGTGCACGCGCACAAAAACCTTAAAAAAAAAAAAAAAAGCCTACCTTAAGCAATTTCAAGAGAGCAGCCCTTAAATACTACTTGCATAATGGTAGAGCCTGAATTAAATATCCACATGTCTGCGGACATCTCCGTATCTCCACGAGCATCACCAGCCTTCTCTGCACTGATGGACAGGTATTTACAAACTGCAAGTTTAGACAGGGATGTTCACGGGCATGTCTTACTGTCAGCGATACATACTTGCTCTACTAAACAGACACTAGGACTCCTGACCACAGCTGTCGTTTGTCCACTGGCCTGCCAGCACCAACGCCCATTTCTTAAGTATCACACGTGAGGTCAGTTGATAAATTTGTATACCTATTTTGTGAATTTTTTTGGGTGTAATTTGGTTTGTATTTGGTGATAATTTTCTTGAACACTAGTGAAAACAAAGTACAGCATTCTCTAGCATAAGCTAAAATAATTTCAAGAGGGTTAAGATTGAAAATATTTACCCATTAGAGTGAAAGGCCATACTGGGCAATTAAAGGACAAAGCATGAAATTGTGAATTTTTTTCTAAATTGACTTCACTAAAAGGGACAAAAGCAAGAAAGATAGGTTCAGGTTTTGTCAGTGTTATATTAATTCCCTTGATGCAAATTATAATATGAGATCAAAATAAGTACTTCAGGTCAGGTGGTGGCGCACACCTTTAATCCCAGCACTCGGGAGGCAGAGGCAGGCGGATCTCTGTGAGTTCGAGGCCAGCCTGGTCTACAAGAGCTAGTTCCAGGACAACTAGGGCTATTACACAGAGAAAGCCTGCCTTGAGACAAACAAAAAGTACTTAAGAAGGAAACAGGAAAGTCCAACACGTGGGCTAATTCCTGGGTTCCTTGTAACTCATTTTGTATGGCATTTCAATAGTTTTAAGAAAATATTTGCTGTATGTTCTGTGTGTGTGTGGTTGTCATGTGGTGAAAGTGCATGTGTGGGGTTGTACATGCATGAAGAGACCAAAGGATGATGCAAGACCTTAGCAGGCTCAGGCCAGGCAAGAGTTTTGCATTGAGAAGCGAGAGGGGCACGAAGTCCCACCTTGAGAAGTTATTATTATTTGATAACTGCAGAAAGAAGGGGGGGAGCAGTTTTCTCTAAGATTGTGGCCTCTAGTGTGTGAACTTCCATACAGAGAAGGCCACACATCCAAGAGTACATGGGCTTCACAAACTGTACTTGATGGGGTTTCTTTAAATAAAAAAAAAAAAAAAAGAGGAGGAGGAGGGGCACAAAGTTGGGTAGCTGTGGAAGGAGACGTGGATCTGGAGAGGCTGGGGAAAGGATAAATATGATCCAAATGCTTTGTAGGAAATTCTCAAAGAATCAATAAGAAATGAGAAAAAAAAATAATGTTCTCAACGTACTAGTACGGCAGCAGCTGCAAAGGTCACTAGGGTGGAAGATTTAGTAAGCTTAAACATTCCATTAAAGGGAAAGGAGTGTACTTTTCAAACAGGTCTCTGTGGGCTACACTTGAATGTTTCTCTGAAAAAACAAACAGGTATTGAAAATAATCCAATGTAACAGCATTGAGGCATGGGAGCAAGGAATGGTGGCTGCCTACAGGAACTGCACTTTATCCATGGGCTCATCATAAAACTGTGGTTTGGGGGAATCTCTCCTCTCCCTCTGTCTCCCTTTTGTTCCTTCTCTCCCTTCCTCTGTCCTGTTTTCTGCAGAGGACGATGCAGCAAGAAGGCCTCCCTAGAGGCCTGTCCTTTGGTCTAGGCTTTCCCAGCTTCAAGGAACAGGAGCCATATGTATCATAAGTGGCATAGTCTGTGGCAGTAGCCTAAAGCTGCTCGAATGTATGACTCAGTATCTGTATGCATTACAACATTACAGTGAAAAACTTAGCAAGCAGAGTACAATCCCTGGAGGTGCCTATGTAACGTGCACAAAGGAGTCAAGAACCTGTTCAACTTCTGTAAGAAATAAATAACGTGAAGAAGCTACTTCTTGAGCATCATCCTGATGTCTGAAGAACATGTGGTTCTATGATACTGCACATTCAAATTAAATGCCCGACTATTTAATACTGTCTATTGCTTTTGTAGCTCAGTTCTTACTTAAAAGTTGAGTATTATCTCCTATCCAAACCTAGGTTAGCAAAGGCAAAAGCAATTGGAAAGCAGTGTGAGGTCTGTGGTGAAGCCATGATGAAACCTGCATTTAAAGAGATTTCACAATTCCAAGCCCTGCTTGTTTTCAGTGATCTGTTTTGGATTTTAAATGCTGGGCCTAAGAAGGAAATTCAAGTTTTGTTGTTTAATTTTCAAATGACCTCTGGGCTTTGATCTAGATAAAACAGTTGCCCAGAGATTTGCATCAGGTGAACAGAGGGTCTTGTTGTTGTTAATGTTGCTTTGTTTTCAATATGTATTGGGCCTGGAGAGATGGTTGTGGTTGAGAACACTGGCTGCTCTTCCATAGGACCTAGGTTTGATTCCCAGCTTCCATATGGAAGCTCACAACCATCTGTAACTCTAGTTCCAGGGGATCCAATGTCCTATTCTGAACTCCATGGTCACTAAACCAAGGAGCAGGTTAGCTGGAGTAAGTGGTGCTGGGAAGTGGGCCTGATAGATAATAGCAGAGTCTTAGCTTCCAGCCTGAGCACTCTGCTCCTTGGTTGATACCATGTAACATGTTGATTCCATGTTCCTGCTCCCCTGCCTCCCCCAAAACGTAAACTAGTCCTCTATCATGTCCCCACTATGATAGGATCTCCCTTGTCAAGTATTTGATTACGACAATGATAAAAGTGTTGAATAGAGTAAATTCCTTCTGAGAAATTGCTGTGGTAACCTTGACCTTGTAATGCACGGGGCTTTGAAACTTCTTTATGGATCAGGACACACCTTTGATCCCAGCCCTTGGGAGGCAGAGGCAGGTGGATCTCTGAGCAAGAGGCAAGCCTGGTATACATATCAAGGTCCAGGTCATCTAAAACTATATAGTGAGTTCCTGCCATGAAAAAAACAAAACAACGAATTGCACTGTGGGAGGAATGTGGGAGAGTTTAGACAGGTGAGGCCCAGAAGCCCCAGCCTGCTGTGAGCTCAGTGCGTAACTATGGTGACTGGAAGAGCAGAATGACAATACAAAGCAGACAGAAAAAGCAAAAACAAAGCAAAACAAAAAAACCAAAAACCAAAACCGTACCCATTAGGTCTCAAGGAAGAACGGAGACTCTCCTGAGGATTGCAGCAATTCTCCCACAGCAATCATTAATAAAGAAAATTCCCCGCACACTTCCTATTGGCCAATCTAGAGGAGTTATTTTCTCAATTAAAGTTCTCCCTTCTCAGATGACCCAGCCTCATAGCAAACCATTAAAAAATAAAATCTAAGCAGGACAAGCCCTAGAGCTTTTCTGCCACAGCACAGGAACACTAACATCTAGGCCCTGGCAGAAGGCCCTCTAATGTTCTTGGCATCGCCAGTATTCTTGGGGTCTCTATTGTAAGTTCAACTTCATTGTCACAGATTTACACAGTGGTTTCTTAGAACCTCCCTCCCGGAAGTATGACCCTGCCACACATTGTCTAACTGTGTGGCTCTGTGGGACTTGTGAGTAGCATTCAGGACCGTGGGACTCCTGTATTCTGCAATCCTACAAAACCAGCACAGTGTGGCTAACAATGTCAAGCTCTGCTGTTGGCTTGAGATGCAGCCCAGCCACACTTTGTGATGGGCCCTGCATAATTCCTGCCTAGAGTTCCTGCTCTGAATTCAGGGTGGACTGTGATTATTAGGTTGTGTAAGCCAATGAAACCCTTTCCTATCCAAGTTGCTTTTGGTTGTTGTCTTTATTATAGGGATAGAAACCAAACTAAGATAGGCAGGACTACCCAAGACTGTTGGAGCCCACATGGTGCCGCCATGAGTCTTAGGTGATGGATATGGACACAGGGTTTGTCCTGGTTTGTCCTGTGAGGTTTAGGTTATACTTTAGCTCAATCTTTAATTTTTCCATATTTTCTTTTGGAATGGGAATATTTACTCCAGGTCACTTAATGTTGGATACACACACACACACACACACACACACACACACGTTGTTTTTGTTTAATGAAGGTTCACGATTAAGAGACTGACTTGACTCTCAGAAAAGACTCTGGACTTTTGAATAGAGTTTCCCCACAATAGGGCCTTTTGAAGTTGGACTGCATGAATTTTGCATTTGTGATAGCCATGAGCCAATGGTGTCTTGGGTAAATTGTTACAGTTCGAATGTAAAATAACCCATAATGGCTCGTGTGTTTGAACTTGACCACCAGCTGATGGTATCATTTGGAGGAGATTCTTGAATCTTTAGAAGATTGGACCTAGCCTAAAGAAGTGGATTTCTGGAAGGGATGTTGTTCATGGATTACAGCCCAGCACTGCTTTCAGCCCAGTCTCTCTGCTTCCTTGTTGAAAGAAAAAAAAAATCAGCAGCTACACATCTCTGCCATCATGAACCAAGCTGTGCCAGGTTCTGTGTCTTCCTCACCATGACAGATCTTCCCCCTCGGACCATGAACTCAAATGAACTCTGAAATTTTTGTCCTATTTTGGACAGAGGGATAGGAAAAGTGATGCACGTAGCACCATAAAATGGATGGAATGTATAATTCTAAACAGTGCACACCTTACTATTATATCCAGCACAAACATTGGTTTACCCTAAAATGTTTAGTTTGAACGAATGTGAAAGGCAGTCTCGAAAGATAGTGATGTCAGCTTTTGGCTAACATGCCAACTCTGTTTCTGATTATGGAAAAACGCATCTAAAAGCAATCACGGGCCACAGTGCATTGCAGGCTCGCTGTTCTCTGGGCGTTGAGAGCAGATGAGCTGCGAGCGATGTGGAGTTTCTGCTTGTTGGCCAGCCATCAACTACTCAGAGTTTCTTCCAATTGGAGTTAGCCTCACTTGAGTCTTCCTTATCCATTCACAGGGAAAACGCGCTATCAGTAAGCATGTTGATTCTGGTGAGAATTAGAAGAAAAGAGAAATGTGATTGTTTGCCACAGGAGCTTGCAGAAAGAGAGAGAGAGAGAGAGAGAGAGAGAGAGAGAGAGAGAGAGAGAGAGAGAGAGAAGAAAGGCCATGTTTTCTCATTCTTGCTAGGAACTGGTTTCCAACCCAAACGTCCAGCTGTAATTGCTTTGCCGTTCTTCTGCAGTCGAAGCCGTCACACAGCATGGCAAAACCCTGCTCGTATCTGTGGCGCTTTATCGGGGAACTGGAAAGTGTACGATGAAGGAATTCTACTGCACTCCTCTGCAGTCTAGACTGGAAGTTGC